ATGTCAGTCTGTGGGGATCAGAACCTGCGGACTCATCGCTACAACTCCGACTGCTGCTCGACTTACTTCTCCACATTCAAGGTGAGTCAGTCACACGCTTGAAACCTCACGAATTATTATGAGTATACCTGGTTAAAGATAAACGCATTATTAAAGAACACAAGACCAAGCACAATGGTATAATATTCAAGCAAATCCATTCGGTCATATGAGCCAAAAACACTTAAAAACGGCAGAAAAATACAACTTTTTTGGTACTTGCAGCTTTTTGACAAGTTTCACATCGTTTCCTATGTTGGGCACATAACGAAAGTACGTAGAAACCATTCTAACCCCCGACCCCCGTAGATTTTGATCACCAAATTCTAATTTTTGTAGGGATCACTCTCATTTCCACGGCCTGTGTAGGAAAGCGGCCTGCCGAAGGTAGGCTAGCGCCGCAGGCAAGGTAAGTTTAAACGCCAGGCGCGGATTGGTCAAAACTGGCGCAGCATCGCGAAGCCTGTTACGACCAGACACGGTCTGGCGTACATGTACCTTGTACAACAATTGCTGTTCACATTGTTTGTTCTTGTAGCGGAGGATATGGATGATTGGTTCTGTGTGGAGTGTATTAGAAAAAGAAATGATGAATTGTCAAAATCAAAACACTCTTTTATCCTCTCAGATCCACCAAATTGAACTGGAAAAGCAAGCCTTACTCATTGACATTCATAATTGATCCAGGAAGCGGAAGAAGGGGATAACTCAATTTTAGCCATTTTTCAGGAGAAACCAAAAACTGATAGCAGGGAAAACTAAAACAAAACAAATGAATGTTGCAGATGTTAATAATTTCAAAAAGGATGGAAAAATTTTGGAAAAAAAATCAAAAGTGTTAGGTTACTCAGTAGAGGATTTCTGCGGCTTATCACTTTCCGTTGAAATGGAAAACAGAGTCAGCTCACCTTATATTTCCTAAACAAAGAGGAATTTGGAGACAAGTGAAGTGGAACAAAAGTCTGCATAAAGTGTATGTTAACCTGGTGTATTTTTTGGACTTAGCTCTTTTTTCCAAATTGAAATTTAAAATTAAGGTGGGGTTAAGTTGAGTTGATTCTTTTTACACTAGATTCATAAAAATACAAGTTGAGTTGTATCCTTTTGCCAATTTGTCAAACGGACTCAGGTGGACTTCGGTTGAGTTATCTCCATTTTCCAATGAAATTTAGACCGTAAAAGGGGTTCAGTTGAGTTATACCTTTTTTCCATGTGGATTTTCTCCTAAACTCCTTGGAATTCAGTCAAACAATTTGGTGGAATGATGTAAACCATTCTAAGGCACAATAATAAAATAAAAACTCAATTTGGGGATAAGTCAAGTTATTCCCTTCTTCCGCTTCCTGGATCAATTGGCTGAGCGATAGCGAAGCCTGTTACTTCAGTGGGGTTGAAAAGTTTTGTCTGTCTGTCTGTGTGTGTGCACTACTCCTCCTAAACGGCTCGGCCGATCTCGGTGAGATTTTGCACACTTTTTGGGTATGACCTTGGCTCGGCACACGTGAAATTTCACTGTCCTAGCTCAACTGGTTCAGTTTCTATAGCCGAAAAACACCTAAAAAAAGGCGAAAAATCGAGTTTTCTGCAGGCAGATCACCTCTGTCTCGAAGGAGGGGGGGTCTGGATGGCCCAGCCCCGACAAGTTAAACAGTTACGAGGGTCAAGATCGTGTTATCTGAAGATGAAACAAGTCCATCTAGAATGAAGGGGGGCCTGGGGGGCGGACAAGCCATTGCCTGCCGAAGGCAGGCTAGCGCCGCAGGCCAAGGTAGGTACGCCAGGCGCGGATTGGAGGAACAGGCAGCGAGACATCGCGAAGCCTGTTACGACAAGACGCGGTCTGGCGTAAACCTACCTTGAGCATACTTTTTCGTTATGTCCTTTGCTCGGCACACGCGAAATTTCAATATCCTAGCTCAACTGGTTCAGTGTTTATAGCCGAAAAACACATAAAAAACGGCGAAAAATCCGGAGTGCCTCGCTACACCGACCCCTGTTTTGACCTACCCCTGATTTTTTTTCACCGACCCCTTGAAAATATCTTTTTTTTGACCGACCCCATGGAACACGGAATTATGCCGTTTTTATTACACCGACCCCGTATTTGACCGACCCCGCATTTCAACGAAGCAAAATTTCACCGACCCCTAAAATGAGCGTAAAAATTGTCCCTTCTCGGGGACCACCCACCGGAACCCCCTCCCCATAACAAACCATAGTGGATGAGAGATTTCTCATCCATGCTTGGACGCGCCGCGTATGAGAAATAGAGATTGCGTAAGTCGCCTGGTTCAAGAAAAGTAGGCCGTTTCAATTCCAAACGTACCGAAAGGTGGTTCTTAGCCTAATTTGAACACGGCGCGTCGAGTGGGCGATGTCAGGTGGGCAATCCGAACAACACAATCAGCTATTGATTGCCTTTGTATGCAAATATGCGGTGATGTCAGCGTGTTGTGCAAAGCGCCGGGAGGGTAGGCAGCCCACCGCACCCACGCCCTTTTCGGTTGCCTAACCACCGGCGGTCGCCCTAACGCCCCACAGCCCAGAAGGACGGCGTCGGCCGGGCGCTTCACCGGAGGCTCGGCGGCTCCATGGACACGCCCGTCCACCCCATCAAGGCTGTGTCCAAGGAGGGCGTCGACGCGGACCCCGCGCCGGCGGGGGTGCCAGGGACGGCCCGCACGGTGGCCCCATGGACACGCCCGTCCACACCATCAAGGCCGCCTCCAAGGAGGGCGTCGACGCGGACCCCGCGCCGGCGGGGGTGCCAGGGACGGCCCGCACGGTGGCCCCATGGACACGCCCGTCCACACCATCAAGGCCGCCTCCAAGGAGGGCGTCGACGCGGACCCCTCACCGGCGGGGGTGCCAGGGATGGCCCGCACGGCGGCCCCATGGACACGCCCCGTCCACACCATCAAGGCCGCCTCCAAGGCCGCCTCGTCGCGAACCCCGCGCCGGCGGGGATTCGATAATCCACACCATCCAGGCCGTGTCCAACGAGGGCCTCGTCGCGAACCCCGCGCCGGTCGATCGTGCAAGAGGACGGGACGTTAGAAACATCTCCGCCCGCGACGGCTTACGTGGCGGCACTCCGAACACGTGCCCGGCCAAGTGACACCACGACCGTGTCCAAAAAGGCGTGATCGCGAACCTCAGCTTTGTGGATGACCAGCGCGGTGGCTCTCCGTAGTCAAACGCACGTCGAGGCCACCGAGGCCATCTTCAAGTAGGACGGCATCGGGAACCTTAGCGGGCGGCGGGGAGGCCGGCGCGGTGGCACCCCAGATGCACGCCAGTCAACGCGGTCCACGCCGTGCTAAAGGAAGACGTGGTCGCGCACCTTGCTTGCGGAGAAGGCCGACGCGCCGGTCCTCCCGACAGCCGCACGCCCTAGCCGCCAAGGCCGCCTCTACGGCGAGCGTCATGGCGAACCTCAGCGGTGGCGATGACCAGTTCGGTGGTTCTTCCTGGGCACACGCCCGTCCAGGCCACCTAGGCCCTGCTGCAGGTAGCATTGAGCGATTCCCGAAAGCGGTTGTCGCTCCGTCTCACTCGCACCCTTATGGAAAGCCCATGAGTGCGACAGAGACAGAGCGACGAAACGACTCATCTGAATTGCTCGGCATGCACCCGCATGTCCTGGCCGCCATGGCCGCGTCCGAGAAGGGCGTCATCACGAACCTTGGTGGTGAGGTAGCCAGCGCAGTGGCTCTCTCGCCCGTCCCGGTCAACACGGCCGTGTCTAAGGACCCCCATCGCTAACTTCGCGGGTGGCTCTCTTTAGACACACGCTCTTCCGGACCACGACGGACGTGTCTAGGAACGGCGTCATCGCGCACCTCGCGCGTGCGGATGGCTGGTGTGGTTACTCCTTCTAGATATGCCCGTCCAGGCCACCACGGCCTGGACGGTTTTAGCGCGCTCCTCGCGGCCAGCATGGCAAGCATGGTGGCTGTAGCAAGACACACGCCCGTCAAGGCCATTACGGCTGCACTCGAGGACGGCGTCCTTCGAAACCTCTGTGGCGAGGACGGCCTGTGCGGAGGCACTCCGGACACGGTCCCTGCCAAGTGACACTAGAGCCGAGTCCAAGAAGGGCCCCGTCGCGAACGTCACCGGTGGTGATGCCTCATTGCACGGCGGCGCCGTGACGGCGCCTCTCTCCAGACACACGCCCGTCCAGGCCACCTAGGTTTAGCAATGGTTAGCATTAAGCGATTCAGCAAAGCGTTTGGTCGCTCTGTCACTTTCGCACCCTTATGGCGTGCTCGAGGGAATGCCCCATGAGTGCGACCGAGACGGGGCTAAGAGGATGGAAACAGCCCGTTGCATTCACCCACCCAGGCGATGATGCCAAAATTACGGTGGCACCCCTGCAGCCCCGAAGGACGGCGTCACGCGGCGTCGGCTAAATGCATGAGCAAGTGTCTGAGGGCACCGACGCCAACGAACTTTATGTGCCCCATGGCTTGAGCCGCGTTGTCGGGCACCTCACTGGCGGAGACAACCAGCACGAAGGGTCCGTCCACGCGCGCGTATCCGCCGTCTAGGCCCCCTAGACCGTGCCGGGCAGCTCCGGCGGGGAAGGCCGGCACCGCGGCTCTTCCGTAGGCACGCCTGTCCTCATGCTACCACTTCGGCCGTCCTTAGGACGTCCTCGGGCACCTTACGGACCGGGGAGGGCGGCGTGCCGACATTCCGCCGTGTTGGATTGGACGAATACGTCAGCGGGAGCCTCGCCTCCACACAGTCCACACGCACGGCGGTCCTCCCAGAGAGGACGTTCTAGTTCCGTCCTCTCAGGATCCTCCCAGATCCTCCCTTCGCAGCAGGCGATTTTTTTATCCCCGCAAAATGGGTGCCAATCGGGAAATTGCCGTTTTTTTGGGCTTTTTTTCGTTTGCGGTCTTATTTGCGTTACGGTTTTTTTTTCTTTCTTTTGTTGTTGTTTTGTGACAAAGCTGACACGGCTAGACAAGTAGAATGAATCCAAACGACCCAGACGTGTCTCTTGTCGATGGGATTCGAAAAGGGACATACATTGTCCATGGTCGTGATGGCCACAGCTACCATTACAATAGGACTATGAAAGGAGGCAGACTCAGCCTCGAGTGCATTAACTACAGGAAAAGGTGCAGGGGGCGAGCGAGTGTTGATGCTCGAGGGCAACACTTTCGGCAAACCCAGAGGCACAATCACGCCCCCAATTGGAATCTTCTGCATGAAAGAAGGCTACGAGCAGCTATCATGGACAGGTGTCGGAGCGGCGATGATAAATGTTTGCACACTATATACGACGAGGAGAGGTTAAAGTTGAGGTGAGTCCAAGGGGTGGGTGTGTAGGGGTGCACCTGTCATGTCATGATTGCTGTATCCATGCTATATTAATATCTCACGAGGCTCATGCTTGACAGAGCCGTTCGTTGAGCGTCCAACCTTTAACCTAAACCTTTCTTTTTTTATGGATTCTCCTTCCAGAACTCCAAGGGCAGCTGCTGCAAACATTCCCTTCCCAAAACTGCTGCCATCCATGCAAAGAGCTCGTAACTCCAAGCTTCCACCTCTCCCACACACTCTGACTGAGTTAGATTTGCTCTTAAGAGATCCTCGGTACAGTTTTCTTACAAAAACTTTGGATGGCGAAGACTGTATATATGCTGGGGCTTATGGTTTATCTGCAAATCGAACTCGATGCCTAATATTCATTTCGAAAAGAATGTTATTGTATTTAAGAACAAGGAAATTGTTATTGTGTGATGGAACATTTCACATTGTTCCAAACAATCTGGGCTGTAGCCAAATATGGAACCTGGTGACAATACGGCGACATCATGTAAGGCACTTGCCAATTATATATTTCTTTGGTTGTAAAGCACTGTCTTTGTAATATATCCTTTACTTTCAATTACAGGTCATACCAATTGGAAGCATCTTCATGCAATCACAACTGACAGAGTGTTATAGAGCTGCCATAACGGCCATTAAACTGCTGCTTCCGGGCTACGAGCCGAAGGAAATAATGTGTGATTTTGAAAACAGCCAACAGAAAGCATTATCCATAGAATTCCCTATCGCGCAGAGACGTGGATGTCATTTCCACTTTACAAAGGTAAATTAATAGTCTGCAGAACAAAATAAAACATGCTGCATATTCTTCTTATTGTGTGAATTAGATTCACTGTTATTTTTAGGCAAATCTTCTGCACGCAAAAGAGATGGGTCTTGCGGTTCTCATCCAGGATGATGGGGTTTGCGATAGCATTATGAGATGTTTGTGTGCTATCCCTCTCCTACATGCTGATTTTATCATAGACGGTGTCCTGGAGATGGCGGAATACACCCAAAGATCTGGGCGGTGGAACCAGTTAGGTCCATTTTTTGATTACATTGAAAGAACTTGGTTACGACCATCACGCCTCCCAATCCTATCTGTATACAAGTGCGAGCACCGAACTTCAAATGCTTGTGAATCCTATCACCACGCATTGAATGTTGCTATGGGTCAGCTGGCCCACCCAAATGTCTACAAAGTACTGTGTGAGTCAGTGGAATAATTCCTTTTCTATTGTTTTAATTATCAGTTCTCTTGTAAAGACATTTTGTTACCATGATATTGCAGCTGCTTTGGTTCGTCTTGAAGATCGATATGTTCAAGATTTGGTGGTACTGAAAAGTGGAAGGCAATCCACCCGGAACAGAAAAATGTCCTCTATTTGCAATGATGAGATTATAAAAGGACTAACAGCAGAGTTGGAGGAAGAAGAAATAAGCATCCATTCGTTCCTTCGGAAGGCATCAAGGCGGCTGCAGTCTCTCTACAATGAGGTGCTGGGACTGGTGTTGGCACCCCACCCTGTTGGCTGATCCCACTTTGGTGAAAATCCACAAAGAGAAGCTTGTACTGAGAATATAAGCCCCTTCATATTTTGTATTATTTAAAATCATTGCTGTGTAAAAAGATTGGGTCAGTATCTCAGAGGTGACAATTGCAACAAAAAAAAATAGGAGTAATAAAAATTGTACAAAATGTATTGATTACACTATTATGATACCTACTAAATAGAACACATTACAAAGAACAAAAGCGCTTTGAAAAGACACAATCAAAAAGTTATTGCTCAATGAGAGCTAAAGAGAACTAAAAAAGTTATGAGTGAGAAAAATAAGTACAGGTTGTACTAAAAGAGGACAAAAGACAGAGTTGCTGCCACTAATTAACAGGTAAAAGCCACAATTGAAAAATAATTTCTCCATAAGAGAATGCAAAAAAGAAAAAAAAAACAGTTAGAAGGGGTCACGTCATGTTGCCTTCTTCAAGGCGGTACCGTACATTTTTTGAAAAGCATAGACCTCCGTCATATCCTTGGCCGCCACAGAGGGCTTTCTTTTCTTTAATACTTCCAACACGTCATCAACGGTAAACGGTCTAATCTGAAAGAAAATTGATTGTATTACATACTTCTGTGTGTGACAAGGTTTTGATGCAGTAAGATGTTTTGTTCAGTAAAATAGTGGACACCAACCTTGTTGAGAGGAATGGTCCTGAGCTGCAAAGAGGTAAGCTCCCTGATTGGGGCTTTCGCAGCATCCTTCAGAACAGTGTGGAGGTCTGCCCCGCTATACCCCTCAGTCTTCTTCACAATCATGGACATACCATCCTCATCAATGCTGTGATTGTCATTTTTAATGTCATGTGCCATGAGTGCTCTTCTCGCCTAAGCATACAGAGGAAATTGTCATAATTGGGATTAAGAAATGTGCTAAGTACTCATGCATTTATTTTGAGATTACCTCTGCATCTGGAAGTGGGATCATGAGTCTCGATGTGAATCTTCTTCTCGCTGCTGAGTCCAATTTCTGTGGCAGATTTGTTGCTCCAATCAAAAGCACACCATCATTGTCAGAGCATGATAAGCCGTCCTGGAAAGTAAATTCATTCCTCAAAACAAAGAAACTAAGTCAATTTGGGAAAGCGAAGCCATGGGATTCTTCACTTTGCCAGGAATGAACTCAGGTTGTATATTGTAATGGGTCATATTTTTGAAACATCATAAAGGTCTTACCTGTGATGCTAAAATCTCAGTTTTCAATCTAGACAAGCATTCATTCTCCTTGCTTGATTCCCTTGATGATAATATAGAATCAACTTCATCTATGTAGATTATGGACGGGCGAAGCACTCTGCAAACCCAGACATTATAAAAAATTGTGTAGTCAAAACAAAGGAGACATTCACTCTTAAAATTACTCAAATTAATTCTTACCTTGCAATCTTAAATAGAAGCCTCACGCGCTTCTCACCAGTTCCTACCCATTTTGAAGTCACAGAGGCTGCACTGATAGCAAAGAAGGTTGCGCCTCCCAAAGACGCAAGGCATTTTCCTAAACAATTTTAAATCAAAAAACAAATATAATTAATCTTGTTTAACAAATAAGGAAACGAAGGAATTGAAGCATGCCATTCTCACCAATCAACGTTTTTCCTGTGCCTGGAGGGCCAAATAGTAGAACACCCTTTTCGGGCTTTTTCAGCCCGGTAAAGATGTCTGGGCGAATAAGTGGATTCACCACTATGTCCTGCAAGACAAAATTGCATGAAGACAAATGTCCACAAGTGTAAAGGACTCATGCCAAATCGACTGTACATTACCTGCAATGTGCGTTTCACATCATCTAAGCCTGCAATTGAATCCCATGTCACAGGTTCCTTAATTTCTAACACCTCTGCCAGGATGCTGCTTGCCATGTCCACATCCAGGTCAGGGATTTCATCTAACAATTTGCTCATTGCTAGATCTTTGTCAAAAGGTTTACCCGGACTTGAATTGTGAGGCTGCAATGTCAACAATATTTTATGGAAAGACACACTATTTATCAAATACAATAAATAGACGGTTAAAATGAAAAAAGAGGAAAGTTATTTAATATATAACATTTGATAGTTTAAAACGTAGCATCCTTATGGAAGTGTGGACGGAAGTGTGGAAGGAAAAAGTTAAGTAGATGTGAGTGAAAACTTACAAATCGAAATGGCCCTGGACTTGATGAACTAGGGCCATCAATTGCTGGAGCTCCAAAGACATCAGGTTTACCAATAGAATACGGATTGTCAGCTGTGAACTGCCTGGTAGTTTTAGAGGGTGATTCACTTAGAGCTGATGTTTGAGTGTTTCCAACCATAAAACAATAAACAAAAATTGATTAGACCAATGCGAATAAAACTTTTCTTTTGAGAACCTTAAACAACACGCACTGGAACAAACCTCTCTTTAGATTTGCAATTTCCTCTTCCTTCGCCTTCAGTTCTTGCTCCAGCTCATCCTTTCTCTTGAAAGTGGACTTCTTTCCCTTCAATGTTAGTTTGCTTGAAGCAGCAGTCGATCTGGTGACCGGCCTCTTAGGCAGAGGGCTTGGAGATATTTCCGTATTAATGTACACGATGTCATCATCATCTTCCTGCTTGGCCTTTTGACCTTTGGGCAAAGTCTCAGGGCCTTTTTCAAGCTTCATTTTTTTCCTCAACAGATTACTCTGGAACCAAACAAATACAATTAAAACAGTAGGGGCAGGAGGAAATGTGACGCGTAGTATGTAAGTACATACCTTGAAATCATCATAATTAGATTCTTCTTTCTTGGTACTTTTGATGGTGGGTTCAAAGTCATCCGAAAAATCCTGCACGCAACAGAAAAAAAATTGGTGAGTTAAAATGAAACCAGATAAATTAGTTTCACTTCTTTCAGTTAGGTATGATCTTGCCCCCAATACTCTTGATTAATAAAAAGTAATGGGAAACAAGTCATGTTGCTTCCAACAAAAAAACCAACAGCAAGTCTGGGTCCTTGCAACAAAAGAGTGTAAGTGCATAGAGAAGCATAAAAAGCATTGTATGCCAGCCCCTGAGGAAATGTTTACCAGGTACAACGGTTTCACACTTTGCTTACCGAATCCAAAGGCGACTTGAAATCGGATGACACAGGTGGAATCAAAGAGTTTTCCTCTTCCAGAATACGAGACAAGGGACCACTGAGGAAAAAAGATAAAGTTTTACAATCCTGCACTTGGTAACAATTTTCTTCTTAAAACAAGTAAAAAATCTACGAAGGGTAAAATTAAGCAAGCCTTATAATGAGGGTCTGAAAGATAACCAATGAAGTTTTCAGTTGCAAAATCCCTCGACAATGTGGATTTTCCAGGAGAAAGAGCGAAAAAGTCTGTGAAAAGTTGAATTTTACAAAAATGGACTTGTTTGAAGGTGGAGAAAAGTTAGGCCTCTCAAGTCACAATTTTCATGCTTATAAATATGGGGAAAAAATTTGAGTTTGTATTTTGACTAATGTGAAAAATTTCTCACTCATCATAACGTAAATTTTGTGCTTTATCTGAAAAATTTATCCTTATCCTTTGTTCAAGACAAACTGAAAATCCTTTTTGACAAATTTTTATCTTAATAGTCTCTGAAAATTGATACCAGTGACACTACACATTTTCAAACCTTTACAACTGTCCATTTTACACTGTTGCAAACTTGCAAGCACTACCTGTACTGAAACTACTTGTAAAGGAGTACTTTGATTTTGAAATGGAACTACAACATTCTTATCCTAGACACAGATCAAAAAAGTCAAAATTTTACCCCAAAAGGTTTAACATTACTTGAAGCTTCATCCCATCAAAACCAGCAATGACGCATCTGATGAACAATACCATACCTATCTGCGGTTGGGTCATCTGCATCTCCATTATCTTCCAACTTGAATGACTGCTTCTCTTGGCTGTGGCCACAAGACAGGAAGGTGGGAAGAGGCCGTTTTGAGGCTGATTTGCTGTGGCCTAAAATCGGGGACCTGGAGTGACTTCTAGTCTCCTTGGTGTGGCCGCGAGAAGGCGACTTGGAGTGGCGCCTGGTCTCCTTGGTGTGGCCGCGAGAAGGCGAACGGGAGTGGCGCCTGGACTCCTTGACGTGGCCGCGAGAAGGCGAACGGGAGTGGCGCCTGCTATCCTTGGCGTGGCCGCGAGAAGGCGAACGGGAGTGGCGCCTGGTCTCCTTGGTGTGGCCGCGAGAGGGCGACTTGGAGTGGCGCCTGGACTCCTTGACGTGGCCGCGAGAAGGCGAACGAGAGTGGCGCCTGCTGTCCTTGGCGTGGCCGCGAGAAGGCGACCTCGAGTGACGTCGCCTGTCCATCGTGTCCTAAGAAACATGACGGCACACTGTGAATGACTGGCAGCCCTAAAATCCGCGTCACACAGCAGACTGATTCCAAGAGTCACAATCATCGCTCTCTCTCTCTCTCTCTCTCTCGCACCTGTACGGGATGCCCCATGAGTGCGAGAGAGACAGGGCGACGAAAACGACTCTCGGAATCAGTCTGCAGGTTCCTGCTCCCTGGTCCCGTCTCTACGCGCACGCTGAAACCGGAGAACAGCCGCTTTGAGATAGCACCGGCACCGACGTACTGTACATTCGCTGAGACCTGAGACCTGAGCCAGCGGCGACCCTTTGCTATGCAGGCCTTTTCTTGGTGCCATCATGAGTGTGGCAAACAGCCTCCAAACAACGAGCGAAACAAAGGGTCAAACCCTTATAACGCACCGGAACAGCACTCCGACAACGAGGCCCCCGGTGGGATTCGGCTGTTTAACTTTTCCTTTGGTCGCCGCGGGCTCAGGTCTGAGCGAATGCACAGTACCCGGTTCTCGCGGTACCGGACCGCCGGACGATGCACTTATAACCTCATAGACAGTCACTTTGCAATCGACAATACATTCGTTTAAAATTAAAGTTACAGAAGAAATGGGTTCTTCCGCTGAACGAATGCGTTGAAGCGCTCACGCTACAGCAACACGCTTAACCTGGGTAAGGTGCTCTCAGTCTCACACACTGAACTACAATTTCTGTGCTCTTTCAATGACTTTCAGTACTGTAGCACTAAAACCTGTATCCGACTAACTTAGGTTGTAATGATAAAAACGAGAAATAATCTCCACTGAACTTACTCACTTTCGACGTGCTCTTTCCCTGCTGGAGGACAATCCGAATGTGCGTTTGAGTGTTGAGGTCTGGCAGGTTAGCCAAGTTTGAATTCTGAAATACACGAATGCAAGAAGGATATCGAATGGAGTTAAGAGATTTCTGGATTTCGCCATTAATTTGAAACATAAATAAGGAAACCACAAATACATTCCTGGCATCAAGTGATATTAAGATGTATATCTTACCTAAAAGTTGAGAGTTAGGCTTAAAATTTTGTTGTAGTGGTAATGAGCTTATCGGCAGTTTACATCTGCGAATAATGTGGGGACATAAGGGAATTGCCCGATCTCTCACACATTCATTTCTTTGTCTGCATCGTCTGCATTCTATCCGAATTGAATAACAGAAACAACTTAATAGTACCTTTTGCAGAGCATAAAATCATGATAAAATTTCTGAGTGATAAGCAATGGTTTAGAGTTTTTCACCATCACACGAAATCCCTTATAAATGTAATGGGACATTTTACCAACACAGGAGAAACTTTAGACATACCGTAGTAAACTTTAAAAAATTGGATCTTATTACTTAAAATTGCGACCAAAAAATGGACAAACACCAGAATGAGTTCAAGAAAAGGACATGTTCAACGCCTTCATAAAGTAAAGTTTAAGAGAGAACGAATAATTGGGACAGTCGAAAGAAGAACACAAATCAAAATCATAGAAACATATTCTAAGATAACAAACTGAAATGTCGATATGAAAAGAATCTTACTGCGTTGGAAACTGTTTAAATTTTCACTTATGAATGTCACCAAGCACATCATCATACCCATTGCGCTCCCTCTTGAGATCATTGACATTAGTTATTTTTATTAGAAATATCATATTTTTAAGTGTCTTAGATTAGAAATAGGCATTATCAAACTATTACTACGCAAAGAACAACCTCAAATCCAGGTGATAAAAAGACACTTGTGTGATGGTGTGAATACACACCAGAATAATTCTGGACCTTTAAAGCTAAACAGCTGATTCATTGTTGAAAGAAAATTCTTTGCCTTCTCAGTATTGCTCTCTGTCATGACGTTTGAACATCAGGGCTGAAAGAAACAGTTCATTAAACTACTTAACTGACATTACAAGTAGTAAGAAGCTCCTACCTTAATTGTTTTCCTTACATTCAGATTTTTAATGAAGCATACACATCATCTCTTTTTAACAGCTCCTGTGCACTTGCTATAGCTTCATCAATACAACTCCCAAAATCTCCATTTGAACCAACAATGAAATTAGGTGGAAATTTTTAACTTGACCATGATCATAATGATTTAAAGAGGAGTTTTGACTAATGTTTCATCAGATGAAAAATAATACAGGTATTGTAAAAAGGAGGTGATATTTTATTACTAAGTTATTTAGGATTTATTTGCCATGAGTTCAAGGCTTGAAACTTTCAAGGTATTCGTAATGGAAGTTCGAGGCAGCATCAAACACATCAACACAAAACTTCACAAGTGGGAGACTTACGAAGAGTTGGATTCCCTAACTATCGGTCTCAGTGCTTTCATTGGTGCACTACTTATTATCTACGTTGGTTTTGTAAACAGCAATGTAATTCCAGTCACTTTCTCAATGAACCTTTCATTCTGTTCACTAGTTTGACTCATTTTAAAACCAAAAACCATTTAAAATAAAAAAAAAACGAAAAAGAAAATGCACATTAGACTGGACATAAATTGAGAAAATCAACCAAAATTAAAATATTGTGCCATAACGAGCTCAAGACTACAAAAAAAAGGATGCACCCGCATTTCAAAGACTCATACCAAGTTCATAGTAAAGCATGTAAAAAAAAAGGTAAAAAGTTTTCAGAAATACGCACCTGAAAGACACATACAATGACGAAAGCACAAGAGCACTCCTACAGCCTTCAAGAAGACCCTAAAGTCACGTCTCCGCCACCCGGTTCCAGATCCATGAAGGGACACAAAGAGTCCCCCGCGGCAAGCCCGGCCGTCGGCCCCCGCGATGCTACGCCGCCGTCCAGGACTCCACCAGGACCGCGCCGTCGAACTGCGTCCTGGACAGCACGGCCGCCCTAGCCACGGAGACCCCCGTGCTGAACCCCGCCGACGAACTGCGTGCTGCCACCGCGCCGAAGCCCTCCGCGACGAGAAGAGCACCGTGCTGAACTCCGCCGACGAACTGCGTGCTGCCACCGCGCCGAAGCCCTCCGCGACGAGAAGAGCACCGTGCTGAACTCCGCCGACGAACTGCGTGCTGCCACCGCGCCGAAGCCCTCCGCGACGTGAAGACCGCCGAGCTGAGCCCCGCCGACGAACTGCGTGCTGCACAGCGCCGCCGCCCTCCGCGACGTGAAGACCGCCGTGCTGAACTCCGCCGGCGAACAGCGTGCTGAACTGCGCCGCCGCCCTCCGCGACGTGAAGACCGCCGTGCTGAACTCCGCCGGCGAACAGCGTGCTGAACTGCGCCGCCGCCCTCTGCGACGTGAAGACCGCCGTGCTGAACTCCGCGGCGAACAGCGTGCTGCACAGCGCCGCCGCCCTCCGCGACGTGAAGACCGCCGTGCTGAACTCCGCCGACGAACTGCGTGCTGCCACCGCGCCGAAGCCCTCCGCGACGTGAAGACCGCCGAGCTGAGCCCCGCCGACGAACTGCGTGCTGCACAGCGCCGCCGCCCTCCGCGACGTGAAGACCGCCGTGCTGAACTCCGCCGGCGAACAGCGTGCTGAACTGCGCCGCCGCCCTCTGCGACGTGAAGACCGCCGTGCTGAACTCCGCCGGCGAACAGCGTGCTGCACAGCGCCGCCGCCCTCCGCGACGTGAAGACCGCCGTGCTGAGCCCCGCGGACGAACTGCGTGCTGCACAGCGCCGCCGCCCTCCGCGACGTGAAGACCGCCGTGCTGAGCCCCGCCGACGAACTGCGTGCTGCACAGCGCCGCCGCCGTCCGCGACGTGATGAGCGCCGTGCTGAACTCCGCCGGCGAACAGCGTGCTGAACTGCGCCGCCGCCCTCGCGACGTGAAGACCGCCGTGCTGAACTCCGCCGGCGAACAGCGTGCTGAACTGCGCCGCCGCCCTCTGCGACGTGAAGACCGCCGTGCTGAACCCGCCGACGAACTGCGTGCTGCACAGCGCCGAATGCCTCCGCAGTGAGACAAGACTGAGCCCGCGACGAACTGCGTGCTACACCGCGGCACTCCGCGACGTGAAGACCGCCGTGCTGAAGCCCGCCGACGAACGCGTGCTGCAACATGCGCCGCCGCCCTCGCGACGTGAAGACCGCCTGCTGAACTCCCGACGCGATACAGCGTGCGGCCCCTAAAAAACGCGCCGTCCCTGCGCGCTGAAGACCGCACGTCGCTGCAGCCACCGCGGACCGCGTGCTGCACCTCAGCGCCGTCCGCCCTCCGCGACGTGATGAGTCGCCGAGACTGCAAGCTGTTCAAGCGCCGCTTTCCGGGCGCCACGGATAATAACGTAATACTTTTGGAACACGCCGTCATGTCGCTCCGATTCCCCTTCGTATTTTGCAAAAGCCACAATTGACCTCGCATACCCGAAACGCATTTTAGCGCGCCGTAACGGGACTCAAAATGGAGCGCTCTGTGAACTATTGGTCCTGTGAACCGCCGCTGTCGCCACGGACCCCGTGACGTGAAGACGCCTGAGCCGTCGACAACTGCGTGCGACAGCTGCGCCGCCCTCCGGGACTAACCACCGAGCTGAACCGCGCAAGCGTCTGAACTGGGCCGTCTCTGGACAAGACCGCCTGCTGAACTCCGGCGACACGTGTGAGACCCCTCGGCTGAAAGCCCTGAGCCGTCGGCACTGCGTGCTGACAGCGCGCCGCCTCCGGGACTGATGGCCACGGCGAACCGCGCCGCTCCCCCCACCACTGCGTCCTGGACAGCACGGCCGCTGTCGCCACGGAGACCCCCGTGCTGCAAGCCCGGCCGTCGCACTCCGCGACGCTGCGCCGCCGTCCGGGACTCCACCAGGACCGCGCCGTCGAACTGCGTCCTGGACAGCACGGCCGCTGTCGCCACGGAGACCCCTGTGCTGCAAGCCCGGCCGTCGCACTCCGCGACGCTGCGCCGCCGTCCGGGACTCCACCAGGACCGCGCCGTCGAACTGCGTCCTGGACAGCACGGCCGCTGTCGCCACGGAGACCCCTGTGCTGCAAGCCTTCGTTAGCCGTCGCAATCCGCAGAGCTGGTCGACGGATTGGCACTAACCAGACCGCCGTCGAACTGCGTCCTGGACAGCACGGCCGCTGTCGCCACGGAGACCCCGTGCTGCAAGCCCGGCCGTCGCACTCCGCGACGCTGCGCCGCCGTCCGGGACTCCACCAGGACCGCGCCGTCGAACTGCGTCCTGGACAGCACGGCCGCTGTCGCCACGGAGACCCCCGTGCTGCATGTCCGTCCGTCGCCCTCCGTGGGGTCGATGGCATCTGCGCCGCTGTGCTGCTTGAGTCTTTCTACCCCTGGCGTTTCTGCAAGAGTCAAGTTAGTTAGCGTAATGGCAGAGTGGTCGAGGATTGGCACATGAACTATTAATGTTCAATTTATAAATTGCTTGGTTGGGTTTTTGAAATAGGGTGCATCCTTGGACCAATTTGGTTGAGTTATTCACACTTCATAAGGTATGTTATATAACATAATTATGCCTGTTTACGTACGTAAATATCATCAAAGAGAAGGAAATTATTTTATTTCACCTATTTCTGATAGATATTCCACCAACATTGAATGAAGTCAAGCGCCCTTTCCCTTGTTCAACTTTACTCAGCTTGTCCCAAAGTATTCTTAGAACATTAGATACATACCTCTCCAAGACGCATAACTTACCAATTCAGTTTTAAAAAAATATTTAAAAACATGGTTCATTCTGCCCTTAACATAATTCACTCTACTCTGATCTTCCTGTAGCAGATAGAATGGCACAAACTAAAAGACAATATTTTTAGGATTAACTTCAACTCCAAAACCTACTTTGTTGAACAGAGCAACACAAATTTTTTGTAAACAATCACTAGTAGTTGTACTCTACTACATAAGATACCTGGTACTTTGATTGGCTGAAACTTATTAAATTGATTTTGTTAGCGATGTTGCTGCTGGGCGCAGTTACAAGATAAAAATCAAGTCCAAACCAACGTTGCAACAAACATATTATTTTCTTCACTTTTTTGCAATGATTACTTTAGTAGAAACAGATGGGAATGATTTTTTACTGATGAGACCACACCTCAAATAAAATAAACATCCCAATTTCATAAGTAATCACAGGTGCAACCCAACAGTCTCCGTTACTGCTTTCTCAAGCACTAATTTCAACCGGCAATAATTATGTGTGTAGCTGTGTGGAGACAACCACTTTAGCATGGTTGGAAAACAAAAATCACAAGGACCACAGGAACTTTGATGTTTACAAGTCGCAACTGGAACAGTTTCTTCATGGTCCTGTTACGGTGACTCAGCATTCTTTTAGAGGTCAAAATGTGCACTGTACACTGCTGATCTTGCGCCACTAAAACCACATAAAATCTTTATGTTGTTAACCGGTTGTAGTTGAAAGCTGAAGTCGTCGCACCACCGTACTGACTGTTCCTTCACAGATGCCACCAAGAAATGCTATTCTCACGCGCAATGGTGAAAACGATAAATAAAATATTCTCTTCCTTTCATGAACGCAATATGGCAGAACACACATATCTTCAATAGTTATTTTTCCATGTTTGAAAGCAGCTTGGACGAAAGGTGTTGTCCGTGCCCGCGCGTCGTATACCTGTCGTACTGTACTGTGTACTGTGTACAGTCGTAGTTATTCGCACATGACCTGCCAATAGTGTGAAGTACCCTTGTGTGCAGTCGGTGGCCTTGGCCTTGGTCCTGTCAAAAGCAGCCGATCATTTCTCCATGATTTCTCTCGCAGTCCGTTCTTCCTGGTTCTTCCATTCCTGATCACATTTTCTATTGCAGTGGTTGTTTGCATTCATATACTTATGGTATAGGTTCTACATAATCAATTTTCACAAATTACTGCTCAGTATCAGTCTGAAAGCTGCGAGCAAGGGAAGAATGGCTGTCCCATAACCTTATAAATCATAAACAATGGTTGGTGTTTTCAAATGGTTTGCTCTTCTTAAAGCTGTTCGATGCTATGTTTGAAAAGGACAAAATTAAACGAAAGTGGAAGGTTCAGTTCATCGGCTAATATGATGAATCCGTAGAGTTCATGGGATAATATGATGAATCCATAATGCACTTGAAAGTTGACGTTATAACAAAGTTTTAATGCTGGCCAATCGAGCACCAAAGGCTGTTCAATTTCTCAAATGGTTCACTATTGCTCAGTCCCACAATGTAATGGCAAATGGAGTAGTACTTCTAACCTTCTGAGATTTCATGGATTCCCAAAGGATGAAGACATAAGCAAGCTGTGGCAAAGGGCAATAGGATGTCTTGTACCACCCACTAATTCAATGAAGGTATGCAGCAAGCATTTCAAAGCGATTGATTACCAGACAGTATTGCCAGGTGTGTATGTATTCTTATTTCAATTGATGTACCAGTGGTGGCATTGAATTCATTGTATTGTGTATCTCTTTCTGCAGGGTGCAAGCGTCTGAAAAGATATGCTGTTCCATCTTTATTTTTACCTACGAAGGTTGATGCCTTTTCACAAACCAACAGCAATGTTGATACAGTTAGAGTAAGTAAAAAGTAAAGCCATGGTGTCTTATGGATTTGCCATTCGTTTCATGGCCCTGTTGAAGAGTTAGCTTCTCATTGATACTTTTTGTAATTTTTTTACGAATGTGGGATATCCTCTTTATTGGGTCCTTCAAAACAAGCGTCCTCAATTTATTTATTGTTATTCCCTTGATTCCCTTAATTTTGGCTTAGGAGAGGATGATACAAATTTCAGAATGTATATTTCACTTACAATATCAGAAAAGTACATTTCTTTGTGTGTTGCTCGGCACAACCTGTGGACTCGAATGTAACTTCATTTCATTTGTGCTACCTTGGACATACAAAGAAACTTTCCTTGATACAAGTGTTGTAAATGAAGATGCAATAATTTCTGAACACCTTTCATGTTGCTTTCTGCAGGTGTCATCAAGGAACCATAGTTCTCCAAACGAAGTGGGGAGTGAGTCCCACAGACAGCTCACGTATGCTTCCAAGCCTCTACAATCTGCTACTGAAATTCTACCAGCCTCAGAGGAAAGCACCTGGGTGAAAGTGGAAGTAAAAGAAGAATTGAACTTGAGCCCTTCAATGCATTTCAGTCATAAAGAGTGGTCTAACATGTTGAATGATTCTGAATTCTACTATCTTAGCGGCATTTCCAAAAATTGCTTTCAAAGTCTTTTTGTCATTTTGACTGGGGAACCGCTTACTCTACCCTCTTGTAATATGGCTGCGCAGGAGCAGTTGTTACTAACTTTGTGCAAGTATAAGCACAATTTTCCATACCCTTTTCTAAGCATATTTTTCAAAATGGAACAGAGTGATGCTCTTGCTGTGTTTTCATTTTGGACTTATCATATGTTCAAAACATTGAAATTATATTTTGGGATGGCATTAAAGGCCGATAGCAAAGATAACCAATCTCAATCTGTCACAGTAGGTGTTGTAAAAGTGCCTGTATTGCAGTCCCACTGGGATCGTCATACTGGCTGTGGGAAAAGTTATAGTCTCAAGTCACTTGTAGTGGTAGATGATGAGAGTCAATCTGTAGTGCTCTGTTCTAAGCTATACGGGAAATTAACAAGTAATGATTTAATTTTGCATGAGATGGAATTTCAGCAGTGTTTCACTCCAAGCACATCCATTACATTACAGGGGCCTTTAAAAGGATCAGCATTTGTGTTGGATGGAAAATATCGTGTAAGTTTATCAGAGAATGCACAACAATGTCTGTGCAGTGAGGGAGGAGAATCCACCATGTGCCTGCTCTCATCTTTTCTGCTTAATAAATGTTTTCAATGTCTTATGGAAGTTCACAAAATTTTATCTGATGGCATCCCACCCAATCTCTTAACTATGTCATCAGAAATTTTCTTCAATTGCATGATGCTGTTTAACTTTGCAAAATGAAAAAACAAATTTTATTTATAATTCATTTTTTCCCTGAGATTTTGTGTTTAATAGCTCACGGATGTCAAAAAGTACCGAATGGTCAAATTTTATTTGTTTTGTATAACGTGGGTGAGATGTGTTCTTTTACTTGCAAGTAGGCTTTAAAAAAGTCTTAGGAAGATGGAACTTTGCCTGATTGTGATGTCCATTGTCCATGTTGAACGGTTTCTTGGAATAGTACCACTTTAGTGGTTTTCAGAGCGCTAGGTAAAAATCTTCCAGTGTCTTTCATTGAGACGGAAAGTCTTGAATTTTTGGGGGGGTTATCCTTACGATGTACTCAAAAGATGTTAGTGAGGAAATTTTCAATTTCAACTCTGGTTCTAAGTTAGATATTTTTAAATTTTGATAAGTTTAAAAAGTGAATTTTTTGCCTTATTTCCAAACTTCTTTGTATCTGTAGGCAGCAGTAGGGCTCTTATTGAGAAATCCTCAAGAAAATTTGCCAACAAATCATCAAAGAAAATATTCCATGTAAGATGACTCATGTATGTGTCAACCAGGAACGCATGAAGTCTTCTAGGACAACATTTTTTGTTGACTGAGTAAAGCACTGCAGTCGAGTGCATAAGCTAACGACAACTGATCGCAATGTCATTTCTTTCTAAATGATAAAGAAACTACCCACTTAGCTTAAAGGTGTTCAACCTGTTGCATCTGAAACCTTCTATGCACATTCTTAGCTAAGAACTTTAATTTAAAATACTGCATTTGTCAATTTTGGCCATTTTTCCACCAGGGTCTTAGTTGTTCTTAAACTGCATCACAATATCTCAGAGGTCCTCATCCCTACAAAGGAATTCTGTGACACACAACAAACTTTGGAACATAAGATTTTACTCTAATAAGTTAGATGATTTGGTACATTAAATTCTTATAGTAATTTGTCTCTTAGACGGTAAGATAAATACTAGTAAAATGGTAGGCATATCCACGTTCATATGCCAGAAGATAAAGCTTGGGAACACTTAGGTTTGCCACAAAGTAATTTGGAAGAAACGATTGAAAGCTACAAAAATCTCCTTCGCTTGAAAACTTATGTGAGTTGAGCCAGCTCTTAAGGTAAAAAATCAATTGTGGGTCACAAATCAGTTGTGAGCCATTGTTTTGACGGGCTGCTACAATTCCATGGAAGAGCGAATCAATTTCAATTTCGGTATGGGTCTTCCCTCAACTCCAACAAGAACTTTGGATATGAGTTAACTAATGAAGTGTAACTTCTGCCTCAAATATTTACTATTAAACCAAAAAGAACTACAGAGAATAGTAATTGTTTCTTTATTACATTTACCTTTATTCCTTCTCCCTTCCCTAAGCCATATGAGGATGGTCTGGTTCAGATAATATTGTCAGTTGGTCGTCTCCGCCATTGAGGTGTCCGACAACGAGACTCAAGCCATAGAGCACACAAGAGCTGCCTCCGGCGAATTGTGGT